TATTTTTTGAAAATACAAATTTTTTAGTACATTTTTTAAAATACAATTGCCTGCTTTTTAGTGTAGTAATTAAAAACGTCAGCAGTAGCACACGCAGCTTCATGTTTCTGCTGCCGCTGCCCATGAAACAACGAATCAAATCACAGGTTTAGTTCTTAAACTTTTTTAAATATTGCGTATAATAAAATTTTCAAAACTATTTAATGTATTTCTTCTTTTTTTTTCTTTTTAAGTATGGATGGGGATCCTACTCACAATATTTTATTAGAGATATATTTTAATTACTGCTAAACTATATATTCACTTTGACACTACTTAATGTATTTTATTTTTAATTTTGTATCTAACYGATCTTTCATTTATTAAGTATTTTTTTGTCATAAATTTATTAGATACAAAATTAAAAGATCATGCCACGGGCTCAATTAGACACAATTAGATTACTCTTGTATCTAGTAAATCATGAATTTTAGAAAATGTTGAATAAGTTAGAGCATATTAGACACAAATYTGAAAATTTAAAGACCGATCGATCGAAATGATGAATTTACAAGATATTTTTAAAAAATTGACATAACATCATAGTGAAGATTAAAGGTAGTAATTTTCACAACAACGATTTAGCCTCTCAATGTCGAACCCATACTACATGAAAATATCGATGGAAATGTCGATATGTCGACAGTTRTTAACACTTTGCATACCTTCAAATATATATTTTTAATCGGACAAATAAAAGAAAAACCATATAACAATGATCAAAATAGTTGTTTTGTTAAAGTTGAGAGACTAAAATATACAAACTAAAACGAAAGGATCTATATATAGAATTTAAAAACATTCTGAGAGACATGAAAAGAATTGCCAATCATGGTCATAAATGTTGCTTTCATGCCATGTTACCATCCATGCTCACGTTACATATCTAATTGTTCATTGTGTTCATGATGTGTGGACCATCCCCTTTTCCCCTTCATCTCATCCTATTATTCCCACCATATGGAAAGCTTTATAATTGCTAATCCACACACTAAACTAGATAGGGTTTTAATTAATTCTCTGGTCCCCTCTCACACCCCAAGTGAACTTTCAATGTCTCATTCGTCCCGATGGTTCAAGATGTCGATCTCCGATTGGCTCCTCAACGATTCTCAAGAATAATCTAACTAGTTATCGACTCTTTTAGTACTTATTGTAATAATGTCAAAATTGTCATTTCATATATACTACTATCTAAAGGGTATTGTAAGTGTTCAAATTGACTTTCTGTGGTGGATATTTGTTGAGGGA